GTCGCTCAACATTCTGTGCATATGCACCATTGTATTTCATCTTTTATTCTTCGTCATCTGTATTGGAGTCACTCTATCTCAGTGTCAACCGCTCTACGAAATGTGGGACTTGACCGGGACTGTGAATGGAGTGTGTATCAACACCACCGCCTTTTTCTATTGTGAGTTATCAGCCATCGACAATGATCCACAGATCATCTATGCCTGTCAGACTAGTTGCTAACGGTGGACAGTTACATCCGGTTTTAACATCGTAACCGACATTTGGATCCTCGTCCTCCCTATCAAAACACTTATGGGCATTCTTCGGCCGCGGCGAGAAAAGATCGCGCTGGGCATCATTTTCGGCGTTGGCGTGTTTGCAACAATAACATCCATCGTCCGCTTACACACGATTTACACATATACCCTCGCCAAGGATCTCTTCCAGGAGAGCATCCTCATCAACATCTGGTCCATGTTGGAGATCAACATCGGAATAATATGCGCCAGTGTTCCTGCACTGAAACCCCTGTTTACTCCTCGTGCTCTACGGGAAGCCGCAAATCGGAACAAGCCAGGCGGTTATCAGTATCATAGTCATGAGAGATCAGGGTTCCATTCGAACAATTCAAAATCGAGAGACAGGACAGAAAACCCCTACAACTTGGATCGAGTGGGTGGGCAGGTAAACTCAAAGACGGTACTACAAAGCACATCACGTATGTCAGGCAGTGAGGATAGTATCCTTGGGGTATGAGTCACGACTATCAAAACGACTGGGATTTCAAGGCGTTTAAGCGATATGTACTTCAGAGAAGCAATGCTTCCGTCACGTTGGGGGCGTTGAAGTGAAGATATTATGACAATATGCAATCAGCGTTCAATCACTGTCAGAGTAAATTGCTACGTGCTATTGACGTATTTGTTTGGGAATGAATGTTGAACAGGTGAAAAGGTTTTGAACATTTAGCAATTAATCATTGATCTTTTGATGCGCAAAGAAATGAGGGCAGGCATGTCACCCCATTGAAACGCCAGCCAGTGCACAATCGGTATGGCGAAACACCTAGTTCAACCGACTGTATCGAAAGGTAGGCTCAATGCCGCCTCAATTCCTGCCTTGCGAGAATATATGTACGTGAACTTCGACTTCAAAGGAAACTAACAGCAGAACCTCTAATTAGAGAAATGACGGTGGATTACACCCGATTCCTTCGACCTTTTGGGACAAGTACCTTATTCAGGGTAAGGTACCTCGGATATGAACATAGAAGCAGGTGCGTAAGTGTGCATAAAGCAGGACTGCCTCGCAAGCTCATCGACCTTTATCGTTCATCGACGAGCATCAAGCAATTAAGACGTAGTAAAAGGCCGTCACTCATCACAATATAGGGTCCTGGGTAGGATAATGGAGCGACTTGGACATGCAAAGAGCTGAGTTGAACGCGAGTCGCATGATATCGATCAAACAGGAATGTGAGACGATGAAAACTACCCTGCGGCAAGAATTATTCCAGCTACGGAATTGATAATTCCGAAATACAACAAGAATCAATAAGTTATGCGTCTTGCATTTATAAAACGAACAAAGGGACGGGATGGAAGGATATCAACCAACAATTGGAAAACAAACACAACCCGTGATTGATCAATATGATGACGAGCCAAGAGCGATAAAACATTTTCGATAATATCTGCATGATACTAAGAAGTGTATATCACAGGTTTCCAAAGCAATTACTTGAGCTGTCGGGAATTCTCAGTATTGCAGCAAGATGGGGTTCAAGACGGCAAGTTAAAATAGCAATGGGTCTTATTACAATATGACCCAACACCCATTCACTACTTAGTTACGCCTACCTCGACAGGCCGCAGATCAAGACCACGCGGACAGATCAGACCGCGCAATTAGAACAAGCCCATCGTTACATGTAACCCTACTATCAGTCTTACCTGCTTCGGAAGGCTGGACCCCGTGTCTGTGGTGCTTTGTGATGATTGTGGCTTGGACCCTGGTTGAGTCTGGCGTCATCATTGGTGGCTTTTGTTATGCTTATGTGCCATCGACAAACAAATTCCATCCACAGACTGATCAACCCTTCTAACATCCCACAGCCCGAAACTGACCATGAGGAAGCTGCGGAATGGAAATAAGCAGCAAAATCACAATTTTGGTAGCGAATGGTCAAGAATTATGGATTGCCCATCGCGACCTCTAGTGCCTATTTCCCATGTGAAATACGAATTTTGGCGAGCGTCGGACGCGGTCAGTTGAGATACCTCAAGCGACCTTGATTATTATCCCTGGAACAGCAAACTTATGCCAGACGGTATGCTATGTGTAGGTATGCTGTGTCTACTACATATGCATGCGGAAGGCGAACCTACTTTCAGGGTTGCCTTCGATCATTGTGCCTTTTTCCACAAATGGGCAACTGTTCTTTAATGATGTACACGTGGAAACCGCACACACACACAGATCAAAAAGTACAAGCGATAGCCCTCGTAGGATCTCGACTTAGCGCAGTATCTCCGGGTTTGTGGGGTAGACTCGGATGCGTCCCGGTGATAACCCCCTGCGTCGAGCTAAGCTTACCTTATGCCATATAAGGGTGTTCGGAAAAGGGAAGGCAAGTTATTTGCAGGTAGACCCAGTCCAGAATACTTACTGATTCATCTGAAAACACGTTTATGGTCCGTTACTGGTGGAATCCTGTGCGGGAAAACATTTTCCTTCATACATCAGATATGAGGCTGAAGATAGCGAATGGGCTAGGATATGCTTAGTTGGGTGGTATGTTCGATACTTGGGGGCAACAAGAGAAATTTTGACTATCGAATCATTGCTTTATCAAGACTTTGATAGCTATAAGTACAGCGTTATATCCCTAAGTGAACCAAGATCACATCATCAAGCTTCACCCCTGATCTCCAGAGCCAAGACTTCCTAACGCCCTGCTCCCGAACAACGCCAAGATGCACCAATACTACCTTCTTGCTCTTCTTCCTGCGGCCTTGGGCTGCCTAAACACCGACACAAACGCCTGTGCCAGCTACATCAAGTCCAACGCCGCCGCGTCGACCTTCTGCGCCACCTTCACCAAGAGCACCGTAACTGCCACCACCGCTCTACCCGCCTGGGCTACCAACTGCTCGCAGAAGCCGAGTCTAATCTCCGCTGAGTGTACTTGCGCCTACAGTGGTGCTGGTGGTAGCTCGACGACTACAACGTTGAAGACTACTACTACCGCAGGAGGCTCTACGCCCACCGGAGTTACTACCACTCTACCCAAGTCCACTGGAGCTACTTCTACCAGCAAGGCCATTACCGTCTCTGCTGGACAGTCTTATGATGGCGGCATGAAGAAGTTTGACCGCAGCCGTACGTTGCCAAGACGAGTAAAAGAATGATGGATGATTGAAAACTGATTCCAGAGCAGCTAGGGTTTGCGCTGAGCAAGATGAGACAGGTGAAGCTGATGCCATGTTCGTGCTTGAGGCTGGTGCCACCCTCTCGAACGTCATTATTGGGCCCGATCAGGCAGAGGGTGTTCACTGCAAGGGAACATGGTTTGTCGTTCCTCAATTCTGAAGGAAGTTTCGATGCTGATTGACTATAGCACACTGTATGGAAACCACCAGAAGAGAAGACATGGAGAACAGCAGACTGACAGTGTATAGTAACAACGTTTGGTGGGAAGACGTTTGCGAGGATGCTCTGTGAGTCTTTCTATATCAGTTGCGCAATCATTTCTTGTTGATAGCTTTCACTCCAGGACCTTGAAGCAGACCAGCGGAACCTCTTACGTCAACGGCGGTGGTGCCTTCAAGGCCGCGGACAAGATCGTCCAATTCAACGGCTTTGGAACTGTCTCGATTAAGAACTTCTACGCTAATGAGTGAGTCGAACTCATCGTCTTTTGCCGTGATGCAACCTGCTAAAACGTCAACAGCTACGGAAAGGTCGTCCGAAGCTGTGGCAACTGCAGCGGTAATGGAGGTGCACGCAACATTGTCATGAACAACGTGATTGCAAAGGACGGTGGAGTCCTCTGCGGCATCAACACCAACTACGGCGATACCTGCAAGGTCACTAGCTGTTGCCAAGATGACAACAAGATTTGTGATAGGGTATGATGACTCTAAGCCTGACATCTCTTTGCATGTACAAGGAAGATTTACTTACTTTGGACTATAGTACACCGGAAATAACAGTGGTGCCGAGCCTACGAAGATTGGCAGTGGCCCTGACGGCACTTACTGCGTCGCCACAAGCTTCACCACGGCCTGTTGATCGTCTGTAATGATGACGACCAAACGATCTGTATAAGTTGGCTTGGTTCAAGCTGTTTATTGCTGGTTCGAAGCTGCAGGCTCGTAAGCAAGGGGTGGGAGGTTTGGAAGCTTCTGGCTCTTGGAACGTAGTAGCTTGCACTGTACATAACTGAATTGTACACTCAAATCCATTTATCTGTATCTTACTTGTCGCTGAAGCAAAGAATTAAACGACTGGCGATGCGGCGAATATCTCGTTCGCCCTAGTGCACTTCAGTGACTCATTCCATCGCATGCCAACGATAAGTTATTCGGCGATTCGATTCAGGCCAAACACAAAGTTTTCAAGATCTTCTTACGCATCAGTACTCAGATTTGCGCCAGCCGGCAGATCCAAATTGTGTTTCTCGAGGTTTGATCGAGTCGAACAGAATCTCAATGCACCTGACATGCTTACTTAGTACTTTGTTAACGTTGGGTGACATGTTTCCCAGAAACATCTATAGTACCTGTGCTCTAGGTTCCAGACTTCACTCCTGTCGAAAGCTAGTAAACGGTAGAGTAATATGCACTCAACGTTGAGGTTACATATCGTATATAGCCTCTTGGCAAGACCACCTTGCGACTCTGCTCCATCCCAATCTGCCCCAGTCACCTCGGCCAACTTCTGCGCCTGGGCTTCTTATTTGAAGTCTGGGTTCATCTCTTTGAATCCAGTCCAAATCGGTAGCTTCTTTATCAAAATGACGAAATGCGGAGCCTGCAAACCAAAGACCTGTGTTCCCGATCATCGCCTACGGGCTCTGCGGGCTACGAGCACTCCCAGGCGTTTAGGAAAAGGTAAGGAATTCTGCGGCAACTTTACCAAGACGGTCATCGCGAACGTGTCTGCGGTTCCGAGCTATACTAGGGGGACTTGTGCAACAAAAATCATCTCAAAAGTTGGCTTAGCATATTCTTGCTTGCCCACGACGACGGAAACCGAGCTTAGATAGCGTAGCTCAAAGTCCTCGTCCTATATTACAGGCAAAAGAACTCGGATGATCCAGTTGAATTGAGGAGAACTGAGTGCGGTGTCCCCAGAGCTGGCGATATCTCATTTTTGTTCCGCAGACTCCATATATAGTTCAAGATAGGACATCGCGTCCAATCTAAATATCGCCTCACCGAGATAAGTTGGCCTTGAGCAAGGGTCATCCATGCTCAACTCGACGGCTCTCAATGAGAATCAAGGTACAAACAAGCTGATCCAGGGAGCTTTGTCCTGCTTTTGTTCTACTTAAACACTAAACGATGGCGAGAAGTATTACTCATCTCGACAGCAGGTCATTTTTGTCGACTGTTATCGGGGTCTTAGAATTATTGTAGCGCAAAGTTATCATCTCTTCGGAGAGGACCGGACACTAAAAGCAAGCTTTCAGTCAGGATCCACCGGTTGCAGATCCACAATGACAAAGCCGGTCCCGGCGCCCGTCCCAAAAATTGTATCCGTAATCCGAATCTTTCATTCCCGTTTCTTTCGGTTTTCGAACCAAAACCGACTGAGCAAATAACATCGGAAAACATGCGCTCCAGTCTCTCCTGCGAATTCTGCCGGTATGTCCCCCATTGGTCTCTGGCATCGCTTCCGGCGATCGATCGGATCCGATGTAACGGCCGCTGACCCAGTTTTTATGACCCCGCAGACGGTCCAAGATCAAGTGCGTCAACAGCGGAAGTCCGCCGTGTACCAAATGCGAGAAGTCGGGAAGATCGGACTGTGTACTGACCAGACCCCACGTCGCGCCGAATGGACGGGCGGCTAAGCGGGCGCGGCGAGCAACGGAAGAGGCTTCATCTGTATCCCATGATCAGGACATTGGGTCTCAGCGACAACTTCTCTCTGCGCCCCATTCACGGGGCCCGGCGACGCCGTCGTCGGGATTGGAGTATCGAGATGGCAGGCAGGAAATGGACCACCATCTCGAGCAAATCCCCAAAGATGTTGTCTACATCGCTCTCGAGGCCTTCTGGCGCAAGTTCCCTGAGCTTCGCGTTATTCACCCCTCATCTTTCATGAAATCGTTTGGGTCCAATTGCCCTAGAGAAAGTAAGGCGTTGTTGGCCACAGTTCTTGCAATGACCAAGACCCAGAAGCCGGATTCGGATCGTCTGCGATCGCAGATCCTCTTTCCGAGCGAAAGATATGCATCATATGCATGTGATGTCCTAGCAGCATGCATACTCCAGCCACCAGATGTCAAAGTCATCCAGGCCCTCCTTATTCTTACGTTGTATGAATGGGGCACGCGAGATTTCCACAAGGCCTGGATGCATTGTGGTAGGCCAACTTCCAAAGTCTTGCGTCGAATGTGTCTGACATCAAACAGGAATTGCAATTCGGATGATGCAATTACTTCATAGTTCGCGAGTAGCGCCCTTTCCACTTGAGATTCCACAACGCAGCGAGCAAAACAGCCTCACTCCCGCAATCGAGACAAGGACATTCTGGGCATGTTTCATTATGGACTGCATGGTGAGCTCGGGAACATACAACCCACGGGTGCTTCCCAAACAGGAGATGGCAAAGCTGAATGTGCCGCGGCCGCCTACTTCTACCGAGTTTGCTTTAGGACCAGGATCGTCAGCGCAAGCTGAAGGTGCGGGGGAAAATTTCACATCGAGTGGAACCGCAACTTCGGTGTATCTTGATTTGGACCAGAGTTTTGGGGTCATGGCTGATGGGTTCGACATCTACTCTGATGTCATGGCTTTTGTGTTCAACGACGGGCGTAAAGCGCCAGGCATGTGCTTACCCGAGAACTGCCCCTGGGTTCCTACATCACCCGTGGCATGTTGGCGTCGGAGACTGGAGGAATGGAGAACGAAGCAGCACCATCGATTACACTATCCGGCCAACAGCGTTGCTGCATACGCTACACTAGGCTATGGTGAATCCTTCGTCTATCTAAATCTACTTTATTACCAAAGGTTTGCCGAAGCTTCCCCCCATGTGCAGGGACTTCACTGGGCTAACACGAAATTTCCGTAGTGTTGTCATGCTTCAGCGAGAATACTTTCCGTTCCTACCGACTATTGACATGACTCCTCGTGGACCCATAGATCCCCCTACTCTTGAAGCTGAGGCTCCCCCGGGCTGGTGGGAACAAAGTGCAAAAGAGCTATTCGAAGCAGCAGGCCACCTGTCCAGCGTTCTTCGAGAAGCTTCAGAATGTGGCGTTGCAGTCATGACGCCCTTCGCTGGGTTCTGTGCGTTCTCATCTTGCTACATCAATCTATATGGATTCATGTTCCCGAGAATTGGCGTTGGCTATGCTACCAGGGCGGAAGAGTACATGAATTGGAGTATAGAGTATCTCAACAAGTTTCGCGAAGTCTGGGACCTCGGGGACGGATGGGTGAGTCATTGATGCCATTGGAGACGTAGTCCCGGTGGAACACCGCTATTTTACTTATGACTGACGCGTAACAGCTCAAGACCATCCAGAACGGGTCGTTGATGTACCAACGAGCCACGTCTGACGCCCAGAAATATCGCGGACGATCTCGCTTTGACTTCAGTGTCTTACATCAGTCTGTTCATGAATTTCGGGTAGTCGATAGATCTGCTCAACATTTAGAGGAAATCAATAACGCTGAGCGGGGCGCCGTCAGCACCGGCGAGGGCAGCAATGTGTCAGGCGACAAGGCGAATCAGAATATCGGCGGGTTAAACCCACAAGCGTTGATAGACGCTGTTGGCAGTATGGATGATCAAGGGCTTTGGCCGAATTGGTGGTCAATGCTGGAAGATGTCGATGCTTCAGAGATGTTCACGATGGGCTAGCCGCATTGGACAAAGGCTTTGAGTGGTGGGTACTTTTCAAGAATGGGTATTATTGAACTGACTATGTACAAAAGTCCGAAGTCGAACTGCCCTGGCAAATGCGTCACGCTCAGCATCAGCATGTCCCTGGTCATGGCCGCTTTTCAAAGAATTTCCGCTTCAATCTCCTCCAGTGCTTCCCTGAAAACACTGCAAATCTTACGTAGCTCCTCCTCTGTTGTCGTGAACGGGGGAGCAAGTAGGACGTGATCTCCTCTCGAGCCATCCACCGTGCCAGCGCCGGGGTAGAGAGCGACGCCCTTCTCAAAGGCCCGCTCTTGAACTCGTAATCCAAATCGCAGCTTGGGATCAAAGGTATCCTTTGTCTCCCTGTCCTTGACAAATTCGACAGCCCAGAACAAACCTCTTCCCCTGATGTCACCGACTGATTTGCACTTGATGAGCTCAGTGCGCAGTAGCACTTCAAGCTGCTTCCCTAACTGAGCGCAGCGAGCGACGAGGCCGTCCCGCTTCACGATCCTTTGAACAGCCAACGCAGCTGCGCAGGCAATGGGATGGGCTTGGTAAGTGTGTCCGTGGTTGAAGGCGTTGGATCCCTGTCTCAGCATGGACACGACCTTCTCGTGCATCAGAACGCCGGCAATGGGGCCGTAACCTCCGCCGAGACCCTTGGCGACTGTGACGATATCGGGAACAATGCCCTCTTGCTCAAAAGCGAAGTAAGTTCCAGTGCGTCCGGTGCCGCACATGACTTCGTCGAGAATGAGAAGAGCGCCATGCTTGTCGCAAATCCGACGAGCACCAGCGATGTAGCCGACAGGGGGTGCCACGCAGCCTGCGGTAGCGCCCACCATAGTCTCGGCAACAAAGGCAATGACATTGTTTGGGCCAATCCTTTGGAACTCGTCCTCGATCTCGGCAAGTAGCCTATCCGTAAATTCATCCTCGGTCTCATCTGCTCTCTGGTATTGGTACGGATATGCTGGTGAAACATATGAGACGTGGGGGTAGGAGAAGCCCTCGTATGGGACCTTTCTCGATGCGACTGTTGAAATCGACATGGTCGCCATAGTGTTGCCGTGGTACGCTTGTTTTCTGCCAATAAAGTGCTTCCTCTGCGGCTGACCATTTTCGAAATGGTACTGACGGGCCAATTTTAGCGCCGATTCGACGGCTTCACTTCCGCTGCAGACGAAGAAGGCCTTGTCGAGACCATGTGGATTGCCATCGAGGATAAGGTCGGCAAGTTCCTCAGCCGGCTGTGTCGTATAGGCTTGCGTGTGGACGTAGCTCACTTTTCGGGCTTGGTCCGAGATAGCTTGAATGACTTCCTTGTTGGCATGGCCAATCAAGGCTACAGCAGCACCACCGCATGCATCGATGACTCTCTTGCCGTTGGCGAGGTTTAGGTAGATACCACTTGCTGATTCGACCATGGAGGGGTGCTGGATTAAAGATCGGTGCATAAGACGACCTTCTCCACCCTTGGTCTTGGTATTCTTGACTGTGTGGGGTTCGGCGTTGACTGCTGTGAACAGCTCGTCGTCTCTTGCGGGAGCCATGGCGAGGGATGTGGACTGTAGAATAATAACTTGAGGTGAGATGAATGTGTAAGTTCTCTATGTGGTTTCTGTTCCCCGAAACAAAGTGGGAGAAAAGAGACAACCGGCACTTTAACTCTCCTAAATAGACCTTCGTTATTCGGCGCTAGTGCTGAAATCCGAGAATCATCGGGATCGACAAGCCAGCGGCTCCGTGTTCACGGAGCCCAACCGGCCCTTCCAACGGTGGGCCCGCGTCAAAATCATCGGAGGAATTACAATAGAGAATCCACTTTGGACATCTCCATAAAATCTGCAGACGATGATAACCGCATTATCGCGAGAAATTCTGATTTCGGTTCTGACGTAAACCCGATAGCCGAAAGCCGACTTACAACATTCGATTTTCTCACTCAGACTCGAGAATATGATAAGCTCGAAGCCTCTCAGGGAGGAGGCTGAAACTTTCAGTTCGAAGAGAGTATGCTTCTGACAGCTTCTGCCGAATCCATTTGAGTTTCGCCAAGATGGACAACGAAAAAGGTACCTACCCCGAGCGACAAGTCGTCCAAAGACAAGATGGGCACGATACCGACCACTCAAGTGACGACCAAGCCGTAAGTTCAAC